CCGTCGTTGCAATATTCTTTCGTGCCATGGGAATATGACGATGAAGTAAGTAATCTGGAAAATTCTGTTCGAAATGGATGAATGGCTGTACGATAGATTAACGAATACATTTCTTAAATCAAAATACGTCAAATAGCAAAAAAATAATATCCATCTGCATTTTATTAGACCATTGAGATTTGCCGAGAGTATACCGAATTACACGCCAATTATACCGACGAAATTATAAACGCCATGAAGCAGGCTATCGAAAAGGGCACTCCCGTAAATCCACCTATTTGGTGGATTGATCCGCTTGACCCGGAAGCTCACAAGATTAATGATGGTGAGTTCGTAACAATGTGAAGATTGTATTCCAGATTTGCCAAACATATGAACTATTACTTATTTTATTGATAAATAGATATTCTTTATAAATCTGGAAAGCACACACGAGGTGATCTGTAAATAATACATAATCGAATGTTGCTGTTTAATCGAATTACAGAGTATCTTCTTGGAGAGAATATACTAGTTGCTCCAGTGACCATAGAGGCTGCCGAAAGTCGCAATATCTATCTACCTAAAGGAAAATGGTACGATGTGAACCGAGTTAAGACTCACGAAGGACCGATATGGCTGACGGACTATCTTGCTCCCCTAAACGTACTTCCATACTTTTTAAGAGTAAAATAAATACAAAAGAATTAAAAAGATTTCAATAAAATATTTATTTATACAAATGTATATAAATTATCTTGCAACATGTCATAGTTTTTTGTTTCGAGATGTGTATGCTTTCTCTTCATATGTAAAGATTGAATGTTGATCAGAGAAAGTCAAGCAGGAAATAAAATCGCTATTTACTTACCAGTAAAGATCAAATCTCTGTGTTAAGTTTTTTTATTACTACGTCATCGGCCGTGTAATTTCCGGTCCTTAAAAAGACTCGCGTTCCTCTCTCAGCGCCCGCAAGCGTTCGTTGTATTCCTCTGATTTATCATAAACGGTTTTATTACTATTACAGGGAATGTCGTAACAGATGTCGTCGGCTGTCGTAAATATTTGATTGTAGGTTTCTTCCGGAGCGAAAGGTTGTTTCGGCTTGATCACATCGATCTCCTTCTGCAGCTCGTTCAGCAATATTTGATCATTGTTCAAAGCTTTTTTATCTGCAGACAAAATTTCTGCGAGGCTGCATGCGAGAAAAGTGAAAATTTAAGTCATAATAGAATGGTTGTTAATATCAAAGTACAGGATGTTCCACTTTCGTCAAATCACATTCAAATCGTATTGAGTATTTCAACAGTAACGGCGTTATACGATTAGATTCTGTAAAAATGTAAGGTACGAGCGTGTAAAATGACTCAATATCACCAACATTTCAAGAAATTGTATATTTAACATATGCATATTGCGAAGAACAAAGATACTCTATTATTTTTGTTTTAATTCAATTACCAGTTTATCTAAAATTTTGCCACTAGGACTTTGACTGAAGTGAGATTCCTTG